GTTGTTGGGGGCAATATGCTGACTCTGTAAACCGCTTAGAGAGGGCTGAAAGCCCTATGAAGCGGTATATAAGTCTAACTGCTATTGCTATTATATCCACTACATATTCAAGGTTATATAGCTTGGAGGTGGAAAATATGCATACCAAGGATGATGTGGTCAAAATACTCACTTGCCTAATAATTGTGCACATGGTGTATGTAGGCTTCTGTCCCATTTAGTCTGCATTGCCCTCATCTGTCTCTTTATGATTAAATATTGCAAAAAAGAGAAAATTAAAAACTATTAAACATTTACCAAACACAATCATCTTTTTGAGATCTCAAAAACTAATATATTTCTCCACTAGATATTTCCAAAAGAAATACCATCCAAACCAGATAACCATTCAATGTCACCAGAAATAAGAATTTTTTAACTATAATCAGATAACTCAAATTTATCTTTTCCTTTTTCCTCCTAATCTTATTTAACTCCCATAAATAAAAAATTAACTTTTCTTCTTCCAGCATCTTTTCTTGTTCTTTCAAAATTCTTATCATTTTTCAAGTCCAGTTGTAGTTTTTATGAAACACCACCAATAAATCTCTTATATTTCCAATTTGAAAGGAGAATCTATGTCTTTTTCAATTTTTAAATGATTATTCAATTGCACTTATAAATCCAATGAATCCATCTCAGTTGTTCTTTGTCATTAATAGTAACTCCAGTAAGGAGTTAAAATGTTCAAGCATTTCATTGGCCAATAAATCAAATATTTCCTTTAAAGTAGTCAGGTTTCCTCCTTAAATAAAGAGGGGGGAAAGCCCCCCACCCAGTAATTTGGGGAAAACTTGCAAGACAACCATAATGGACCCTGACCATTGTGGTCAGATGTCATGATGGCTGTTATGTGAAGTATCCACATAATTGTCTCACTTACAACCCTCCAATCTTCCCTGATGAGGCCTTGAAAAGTCTAGGGCAGACCCTTCTGCACATCTCCCAGGGCCTTCCTCTCCCCCTAAGACATCCCATGCTGTTTCCCAGCCCTTGAGGTCCATAATTCAATGCAGCTGTCCAGAAAATGGCTGCTTACAGCATCACAAAGACCATAATTTGCCCCCACCCGAATGTTGAATGAATGTTGCTTGATTTTAATTATATATTGTGTTTTTATGTTATTGTATGTCTTCCCCTCCCATACAAGTTGTTAGCCGCCCTGAGTCCCCTCAGGGAAAAGGGCGGCCTACAAATATTAATAAAATCTACAAAAAAAAAAAAAAATCTACAAAACATTTGATGATTCTGTGATCGCAATCCAATATCTTACCAATTTCAAGAGTGCTGCATCTTTCTGAAAGACTTTTTACAATTTTTAACTTTTCAGAGTCAGTTAAATCCATTTTGCCTGAAGAAAAGAAACTGCCTAATAATTATGCACACCTTGATATAGGGTGTTAATCTCCTTAGGTCACATTTACCCTCATTACACAAATATACATCCCTGATATGCTTATAAGAGCCGAGGTGGTGCAGTGGTTAAATGCAGCACTGCATGCTACTTTAGCTGACTGCAGTTCTGCAGTTTGGCTGTTCAAATCTCACCGGCTCAGGGTTGACTCAGCCTTCCATCCTTCCGAGGTGGGTAAAATGAGGACCC